CCCGCAGAACAAAATTAAATCAGTATCTTCAAAAATTTGATCAACAAGGGTAAGACTCCAAAGTCATCTTAACAGTTTAGACTTTTGCCTCCTCACTCCTCTTTCAGGGCATAACATAAGGTTGTATGTGTGTATGGCCACCCTTCAAGTGCTTACTCAAACTGTTTTGTCAATCTCCTCTGAAGTCTTGTATTGGCTTTTTAAACACTCCTCCTGATGCTGTAGTTATTTCTATTTCTTGTTGACCTTTTCCTACAACACATTTTCCTTTTCCTTAACTTTCCTATAACATGTTTGCACACAGCACTCTGTCAACAGTCTCTTTTATGAAGAAACGTTTGTGGCTTACCCTGTGAAAGGTGTCACTGATTGGTTACTGCCATGTCAGGAATTCACTTATCATCATCATAACATTATTTTACATTAAAACTTTTACAAGTAACATAATTTGGGTTTTCATTAGCTGCAAGCTCTAGCCATCAAAAGTACTAGAGGCAAACACATGAAAGATCAATTGATGTGTAACAAATTAGCTTAACATACTGTTTACTTTCTGAACCGACTAATGAAAAACATTAACTTTTTCCTAATGTTCTAATTCACTGTACAAAAGTACAGGTTCAGACTGTTCAATGTAAAATCATATTTTGATGCCAACCCTATTTTTTGCATAATATTTAGCAAAAAGCTTATCATTGTGTAAGACACATTTGTTGATGCACAGCGTTGAGCTGGAAAGTTTAGAATTTCAAACTCTGGAATGCACATCGCTTCAATGGACATCATGTGCTGGTGAAGATTCTCAGTCATCCAGGTCATAGTCATTCCAAAAAAGTTAGAAAAACAATCCACCAAAATTGTTTTCCAAGTTTGAAGATGTTTCACTTCCCAGAACTGAGAAAGCTTCCTGGTTGGGAAGCAAAGCATCTTCATAGTTGTAAAACTAGTTCAGTGGGGTTTTTTTTTTTACTTTTTTGTATGGAAACCATACATTACAAAATATTGTGCCAATAGAATCCAGGATGTTGGAATAAAATTTGTTGGAGGGGTTGAAGCATTCTACCAAGCAGTCGTTCACTCTGAAGACACCACACATGGCTGGATTATCCTTCTGAATATCAGTCCTGAGTTGCTCCAGGGACTGATATTCATATCTGGGCAATGGGAGAGGAAAGATGGGGTAGAAATCGGCATGGTTATCTTGCTGTATAAACCGGCCTTTAGTAGTTTAAACTGTAAGCAAGCAAAGGGTTTAATCCTTAAATAAGCCTTGTTTAGATCTCCTGCAGTAATTTTACTCTGTTGGAAAGGGCATTAGATCAACCACAGCTCCTAAAGACATATGTTAGTAAGTCGAGACTTTTGCATGTCTGGTCTACATCAGTGTCAGGACTACAATCAAATGCAGCAGCCAGAATGAAAGAGCATAAGAATTTGTATGTATAAAACACAAGAAAGCAAAAATCTGATAGAAGACTAGAAATAAATTCTTTATTTTTTTAGCCAACGAAATCACAACTTTTTCACTTAATATCTGTTCACTGTTGCAAGAAAGAGGGAAAAAACATCTTAATTTTGACGTTTCCTACAGATCAGTGTTGACTCCATTCCTGTTTTCTAATCTACCTTTTTTTCCATCCCATTGTGTTGAATAACAGAAGATAATGTATTAAGGCCATAATAGAAACTAGTGTTTACATGCCACACCTCGTATTTGTATTAGATTCAACAGCATTGATTTCACTAGTCAACAGAGGTCAGCAAGAACTTGTGGTGCCAATTACTTTATTTAAAATTATCTATTGACTGGCAGATCAATGCTAATTCTCATTTTGCTCTTTGTTGTTTTCCCACAGCCTCCACTTCTCCTTCTCCTTTTCCGCCTTCTCATAGCACAATTATTCTTTTACCTGCCATTGTTTTAATCTTCTAATTAGTCTGAAGGACATCCGCCCATTGCCTTAAAATGGCCCGCTGGTGTGTGTGGGTGTATGTGCTACTTAATCTGCAACCTATTCAGTGAGTGTGGACTGAAATGGTTAAATATATAGAGCTGTGACACTTGTCAGTCTCACCTTGAGTAGCCTGTTTGTCACTGTCTTGTAGGATAAAACGTTGCATGTGATTTATATGGAAATGCCTGGGACAGTGTTTTGTGGAGAATTTAACGTCTCTGTAGGGGGCACAGTAACCAACTGTTAGATTATTTTAAAAAATGTTTTGTTCTGAAAAAAATTATATTTTCTCACATGCTGAAATTTCCAGTGCATGCTTTTGAAAAAGAAAATAAATAATATTAATTCTCTGTAATCCCTACAGATTTCGAAAACATGGAGAGGATTCTATGTAAGGAAGTATATCCTCGACTTTTATGCTCGGAAACGCTATCTGGAGCAAATTCTCATAAAGAATGAGCTTATAAGGTAAGACATATAAATGTACCTCATAGCAGTGTTCGAGTATGAGACCAGTATCCAAACCACTTTTTTATGGTTTTGTTTTAGACTCGACCACATATGTAGTGATTTTCCCTCAGCGTTGAACATTCAGGACTCTAGGTTTTAAATTGAGACCAGTCAAGACCAAAGCTGTGGAAATATCATCAAAGTTCTCTGTTGATAACCCTTTTTTGTTATGTAAAATGTAGTATTTAAAATCCAAACAACAACATAACTCATTGTTGATTATGTATTTATGTTACTTCTGCCACTTATCCACCAAGTACCCTAACCATTACCTTCTCTGATCCCTGCTGGGTGAGTTCTTTGTGTTTGTTTTGCTGCTCCAGTAAGTAACAACAAAATGCCTGCTACAGGTAGATCCCTCTTTAGTAAGAATCAAAAAATGTGGGCTGTCCCTTTCTGGTTGGAGGAGAGTACCTGCCTCAAGTAGACGAGCTCAAGTATCTTGGGGCCCTGTTCGCGAGTTAGGGGACAATGGGGCGGGAGATCAATAGAGAGATCGGTGCAGCTGCTTCTAAAATGTAGAAGCTACACTGGTCTGTTGTAGTAAAGAGAGAGTTGAGCGAAAAGGCAAAGCTCTTGATATATCAGTCATTCTATATCCTCACCCTCATGGTCATGAAGTTTGGATGAGGACCAAAAGAACAAGATCCCAGAAACAAATGGCTGAAATGGGCTTTCTTCGCAGTGTGGCTGGGACCCACCATAGAGATATTCTGAGGAGCTTCTTCCCCACATTGAAAAGAGTGAGCTGAGGTGACTTGGACATCTTTTTGAGATGCCACCTCAATGCATCTCTCGGGAGATGTTCCAGGCATGTCCTACTGGGAGGACACGTTGGAGGAACTATGTCTTTCTGCTGGTCTGGGAACACTTCGGGCTCTGGTGTCTGGGGAAAGAGGGGTCTTGGAGATGCTGGATAAAGCGAAAGACAATGAGTATCAGTCACAGGTAGTGCCTGGGTCAGACTGTAGGAAAGAACTGATTGGTAAAAAAATTAGTTGAGATGTTTTAGTCACATTACATAAACAATCTTTGTCCTAAATAAATAATTAATTTTAAGATATATATTTTTTATTTGTGATGATTTTAATTATACATTTTTACATGTGGCCATGTGCCGAATTCATTCACTTTTTAATCTCTCTGTTCTACAAATCAAAGTCATTCTTTCTACAAGAAAGTCAGTCACTTCTATTATGTGCTTTAGGTGAAGAAGTCATTATAAATGGCTTAAAGATTTGGCGTATGCATGACACTGCTCAGAGGTGGTTATAAAAGAAATGTATAGCAGTTCAGAGGTGATAAAGATATGACACAGCATAAATTCATGAATTCCAGTCCTTTCGCTTCTTTAAATGTAAGCTTGTGTTCAGTGCTCATAACTCCCCACTAAAGTTGTGCCAGAATATCAGTTAAAGGAAACCACACTGAATATTATAGTGCTGCAAATACTTTGCTGGCAGCATTCCACGCATCTCATTTCCAAGCAGAATGTAGATGATTTAAGGCTATGAACCAGGCTTTAGAACCAGGCTTTAGAATGAGAATCCATTCCAGCACTCCGTAACAGTGTTTTGTGAGCAGTGGGTGTGCCATACCTGTACAGCACTTGACGTTCTTTCTATTCACCCAAAGTTTGCAACTCCTACATTTTTGATTGACTTCTCTCTCTCCCCTTCAAGTGCCCACCTTTCCAAAATCAGCCTGTTCATGTTCACTTGCTTGTATAAATACACATATCAATATTAGTTAGGGGAGTGCTGGCCTAGTGGTTAGGGCATAGGGCTTGGAATCCTGAGGTTGCGAGATCAAAACCAACTCCCACAGACTGCCACTCTGACTCTCTGAGCAAAAGACCCTTAACCCCACACTGCTCCCCGGGTGCCGCACAATGGCAGACCACTACTCCCCAAGGGGATAGGTTAAATGCAGAGACTGAATTACGTTGCGCTGTACTTGTGACAGTGTAATGACAATAAAAACTCTGGAATTAAAAAAGAGAAAACTTCTGTACTGTAAATACTATTAAAAATGCTACTAGACAGACTCCTCTTTTTCTGTTATAAAAGCATATTACACATGTCAAGCTCTCACAATACTTTCAAAATATGGCACTTTTATATAACAAAAACTAGAACCAAAAAGGTATGCATATAACAAAGTTTAATGTATGTAATGAGGAAATATGACTGAAAGCTATTATTAGATGACTAACATATAGCTTAGAGAAAGAGAAGGGGAATATGAGAAACCAAGATATGGGAAAATGTAGCAAAAGGGAAAAGGTAGTAGCTGAAAAATGATTTCTTTAAAATGCTCAAGGCTAAGAGACAAGGAAGTTAACATGAGAAAAAATTAAAAATTAACCTCTGATTTGAACTGCAGCCTGTGCATTAATAAAACATGCTCTGCTTTAGGGCTTAGTGCTAAAGAAACACCACCATCTTTTATTTTTGACAAAAAAAGAACAACTATCATGTTTAGCTCATAGCCACATTTTTAACGTTAATAGATTTGATCAGAAAACATCTCTAGGCTTTTGCTAAAATTAAATGTAAATTTGTAAAAGTACTCCTTGGATCACTGCCTTTTCTCCTCAAAACCCCATCTGCATTTCACCTTCCTTCCTCCCTCTTCAACCTACAAAAAGGCATACGAGGACTAAATCATTAAATACTATACTGTACGGTACTATACTACACTATACTACACTATACTGCACTGTACTGTACTGTACTGTACTGTACTATACTGCACTGTACTGTGCTATACTATACTACACTAAAGTGAGTTAAAAGGATCATTTAGTTGTTTACATGTTTGAATGTTTGGTCTGGCTATAATACAAATCTAAGACATCCTGTTGTTTTTATAAAAGAGCAGATATAGACACACTCTTCTTGTGCTCAGGGTGTTAAGTTCTCCCTTGCTTCAGATAATCATGTTTATGCAGAGAAACAGAGGTCAAGATCAATTAACACTGGTCTGTAATTTATTGAAAATATCCCCCCTCTGTTAGGTATTTAGTTCTTGGATCGCTCATGACCTGATCGCTCACCCTCGAAGGTTCTGCTGTTTAATCCAATTGCATGTTATCACCCCCCCCCCCCCCCCATCTGTCTGTTTGTCCAATTTACTGAGTTCATTACTGAATGCAGGATTAATGGTGTCCACTGAGCGATTGTTGCTGTAGTAGTAATATAATAGTAGTAGGTCTTTTGCTAAACATCTTTCTGTCCTTTCACACTTAGTCTCCATTTCAAGCTCTCTCTCTAATGACAGATCACCCCAGCTCTAAAACCATCTGTGCCATTTCATTAGGTACAGCAACCAACTAATCCCTGCCACTTACACCACCCTCTTCTATACATGACTCCCTTCATCTCTAACTCTTGCTTCTCGCTTTGTTCCTCTCTATCTTAATCTATTTAGCTCCATAGCTTCCCTCTCCCTGCCACAGGTTCACTGTGTCCATCTTCATTCATCCTTCCTCTCCTTCTGCATAGCCTAATGAAGTCAGGACCTCAGCGCAGTCCCCTCTCTACCTCAGTTTTCCTTGATACCCCAACAATTTATCACTTTGTCAGGGTGATACTTTAAGTTACCAGGCTTTATTAGGGGCATGCAGTGGGATGGTGGGGGCAATTAGGAAAGCAGATCAACCACACTTTGCATATTTACTAAATGTCCTGGTGTCACCACTCACATGGCCTGTTGACTACATGAATTATTCCTTTACCTTCAATAAACAGCTGGGTAATTATTGCTGCCATAATCAGATAAATTATTCTCCATTTGGTGCTGAAACACTGTAGAGAAACTTTTCAAGTTAAAAGTTCCAAATTTGACAATTGGGGAGAAATTCTAGATTGCCACCGGGCTGAGGTGCACTATTTCTTTTTTTGTAAGCCGTATTCCCCCCTTTTCTCTCCATGCTTTCTTCTTCATGTCTGTCTTTACTCAGGTTTTCTTCATTCCTATTTCTATTGTGTCCCTCCCAAGGACATTCATGAAAGGGGAGCTGCTAGGGTGGAGATAGAGCAGGCCTGCCCTGCGATCAGTCTCCATGGCTATGCATCAGTATTTCTTTTGCTGGCCTTTGTGTCTGATCCATTCTGGGTACAGTCAACTTCTCTCCTTCAGTCTGATTGTATTAGTATGTTTTTTTTTTCTATGTGTCTGTATGTGAATGCAATTTGTATGTGAATGTAATATTGGACTGTAAAACGAAAGAAGTGAGATGCTTTCACTATGTTCACCTTTTGTTTTAGCATCAATGATTGACACATTAATTTTAGCCATGGTTTCCTTATATAAAACCCTGTTAATTTTATTACTTCAATGAACTAGTGAATCTATCACTTTAATTGGTTAAACAGAAATATTGTGTTTTTAGCTGCAGAGAGCTCAATGCATTTAATGTCACAGTCTACATTGACTCACAGTATAGAGAGTCTTTGCAGACTGTTGAATCATTCAATTTGATCAATTAAATCAGCCAATCAGGTCAGGGCTCTAATACATATTTAAAACCTGGCCTATTAGCTGCTCTCATCTTTGGCTGGATGACCAAAGATGTGGCCTGCTGTCCCCTGGTGCTTCACTCTAATATTTCTGCAGTCCTTGAACCCCTGTTGTGAACCAGGAAGTAAATTATTGAAGAAATACTGAGAAGAGTAGCTGTACAATATTATACATTTGAATAAGTTAAACGTCCAAGGCCAAAATGTCAGAAAAGGTTTCAATTTATTGGATAGTTGTTATATTTGATTAGCATGCATGTTTAACAGCTCAGCAGACAAAATTTGAAGTCAAAGATCTTTGTATCCTCTTCTGTTGTGAAGAATGTTAGATCATGCTAACTATACTCTGTAGTACTGTAAGTCTTTAAATTATTTTTCAATTAGAAAAATTACCTGGCTGAAATTTTTATTATATGCCAATTTATCATAGTAAAAAAAAATAACAAACAGTGACTTGCAAAAATGGCTTGGCATAATTTAATTAGCAAAATTTTTTCAGAAACGAGCTACACGATTATTAATTGTTGATATTTTTTTTTTTAAATAATTCCCCCTTAGATTTTAAAATATAAAAACTTGGTCTATATGGCTAGGTGGATTTCAGTCTGAAAAAGCTTCAATATTAGCTGAAGAGTAATATAAGAGCAATATGAAGATAAGGTTCTCCTAAAATCATTGCACATGGCCAAAGTTTCAAGAATACCTGCTTAAAAAAGGGTTTAAAAATATATTTGTCTCGTGGTGCAAGCAGAAAATATCCTTTATCCCTAAATATGTAGTCTGGTGCAGAAAGGGCCTTAACTGTTCACTCAGACTAGATTCCCCCAGATACCCATCTGACATTTTGGGTAAATAAACTCAATCCACAGAGACCACACTCTAGAGTTTACAAAGCTCAAGAGATCTAATAACATGGTACTTAGACCCCAACAGACACTGAGAGGTTCTTCCTCTATGCCCAAGCTGATAACAGCTTACTTTCTGGAAAATTACATTTTTCCGAACTCTGTCTCTGACAAAGAACTCAGATGGACAGGTTTCTTCATTATCTTTTAAATTACTTTGGATTTGAATATTTGACCTATTTGAGTCAGCTAAATTGAGTCTTTTCAGTTTGCAGTTGTTATAAGTTGTTTAATGTTGGTGTATATTTGTCAGAGATGTTACAAAGTGAGCTGTCATATTTTTTTCCCCACCCTTTAATTTTTATTTAGTCTAAGCCATACACACATTCTCGTCTTGCTATACTTAATGAGGACTGTGTGTTGATTTTCAGTCATTTTCATCCCTTCTATGCCCTTACTCCGACAATAACCCTAAATCTAATAATTACCAGGCCATACTTAACTCTAATCTTAACCTGAACTCAATTTACTCCTTAGTCTTAAACCTAACCATTAGCAATAAAGACAGTGAGGACCAGCA